TTGGCTTGTTTTACAACGTCGTTGCCAAGCGACGAAAACCCAACCCCGATGGCAAACACGGGGGGGGCGGCGGGGGGGGGTTGTATCGCGAACCTCTGGTTATTTCCACGCAACAATGGATTCTCACCTTTCTGTAGGTCAAATTTTCCGCCTACCGTGTCTCGGCTTGCATCATTACACGAAATATGATGTCCACTTTTTGCGAAATGCGATCCCTACTTGAGGCGAAATGTGATTTCTACTTTGGGCGAAATGCGGAATGCGATTTCCACTATAGGCGAATGGGTGATATTCATTTTAGACGAAAAGCGATTTCCATTTAGGCGAAAAGGGGTTTCGAAATGTGATCTCCACATTCGGCAAAATGTGATTTCCATTTTAGGCGAAAAGTGGTTTCCACTTTAGGCGAAATGTGATCTCCACATTAGGCGAAATGTGATTTACATTTTAGGCGAGATCTTCGCCCCGTCTCATAAGTCGACAAGTGATTTCCACGAATATGAAATTTCCACTTTACAGTAGGCGAAAAACATTAATCCTGCATCTTGGGACCAAACAATCGCGTCGTGCTACAGGGTGTTGATGTTACGCTTTTCCGCCCCCAAAAGAAAATAGTCAAGCATCCACCCCATCATAGGGGTTGAGGTTACGATTTTCCAGCAAAAAAAAAAAAACGAGGCATGCATCCATACCAGTACCCTTCGCAGCAATCTTCTATTAGGTAATCTGTTGGATAAAGCATGCAATCGGGGACGTTGGGTCGTGAACTAAGTCTGCATACTCTCCCTTCTTCCCCTCGCTCCTCGACAAGCTTTTGCTTGACATGGGCTGCAGTGAAGGGGGGGGGTCTTTCTGGCGAGCAGGGCTAGACTCACCCTCAAGGGATGACCGAAACCTTCTTGCTGCTGCGCATCCGCCGCGAGGCTTGCGTGTGGTGGTGGAGTGGGGTCGGCACTGATGGGGTCAGGCGGGAAAATGTAGATGCGCGGGCCTTTCTGGCCGTCGGCGTAGGCAGTGATGCCCATCTCATGTTTGTGCGCGGAGGCAGACACCATCAGAAAGGTGGACGGGCACTACACGGCCCTAGGTTTGCTAGAGGGAGCTGTATTGCCTCAGTAACCTGGCTTCGCCATCAAAGGAGGAGGGAGCAGGTGGCGACGAGCTGAACTGGGCTGGTTGACCATTCGGCGCGAGAATTTTTATTTTTCAGACCAAGAACCTTGAATGCAATGAGGGAGAAAGCGAGGAACGGACTGGGAAGGACAGCAACGAGAGCGTGTACGGACGGAGCAGGTCGAGTGGCGTTTTGCTCGGGCTGACTACAGCGGCGCCGGATGGAGCA